GAGGAGTCCTGCAATGCTCCTTTTGATTTTCCTAAGTTCTAATTCCAAGTCTTGACATATAATGGTTCTGCGGTTGTCAGTTGCGATGGTTAGTAAACCGTAACAGGTCTGATCCGTAACTCCGGTGTTCATAGTACCATGCGCTTCCATGTTTGATCAGCTGCAACCTTCGCAAGATGATATTTAGCCTCCGGACACTAAAGGCAGTAGCTTTGATTGTAATACCATCTTGGAGGATTTGGTCGTAAGTCACTACACTGGCCAGACGGGTTAGTGTCGCATTTTTGACCTGATATTTTTGATATTTTTGAATAGAGCATAGGTTATATAATGGGCTATAGTGTATTTCCAATAGATTAACACTTATTTCACATGCTATGCATGAATATTATTTTAGCTTCAGTCAGACATAGCTTCCAGCTTGATGCAAATGATTGTAAACAACATTAATACGCCAAGAGTAATTCAGGAATCTTACATGTCTGTTTTGTACCTGAATGACTGATTCCTACGATGCACCAGTTGCTGTGACAATAGCTCCTGGGACAGAGCGTTTCCGTACAGAAGCAAGGGATGCCTATAAATAATAAGTTAGTTCAGTGGAAGATAAAAACTTATATCTTAAAAACTTATATTGGTCCTGAGACAATCGATTCCTGACGTAGCAGATTTCAGAAAGTACATTTCGCATATGACACTCTCTTCTCATTATCAGCGTAAGGAAGAAAATAAATACACAACTTTTTAGACAGCGTCAGCATTGTTTTCAAAGTGACTTGATAAAGTGAGAAGCATAACTTCAATTAAACATCTCTGTGTTCAGTGATAAGAAGTATATATGAGCTGATTTTAGTGCAAAAATAAGGGAAAAATTTTCAGTTAGTCAAACTATTCTTATATTTATTATGAATTGAATGTATTGAATTGCATGAATTAATGTATGCCTGAAGAGTATTTACTGTGATCATTTCACAATAATTCAATGAATAAATTGGGAGATCGCATGACAGAATGGTGCCTTCCTCTGAGTAGCTGCGACCGTCGTAGAAGCCTATTCTAACCTCTGAGAGATGGTCTGGCAACGAAGTGTTAGTATCGAGCCCATCATGGATTTTGATGCAGATCCTTTTGCGAGAGAGACACTATCGTTAAAATACCCGGGAGGAAGGAGTGAAGGAAGTCAGAACGGGTCACAGATCTTGTACAATTTTGACGGACGCAAGTAAGTGATGATTTTTCTTTTTTAAAGTAA